AAAGAAAACACGTTTATTCACCGCTACACGGCACTGGCTAAACTGTTTCAATTTTCAGTAGCCACCTGCACTTGTTCCGAGCTCTGAAATACAAGCTTTCTCATTGGCTATGTCCACGCATAGGCGTGCTTTACTCCACGTGGACCGGTGAAACTGCCTTTGATCTCTTATTCTGATCTGATATTTGCTGCGAAATTTGGCGATTTTTGCAGCAACAGAGCGTGTTAAATATAGATATATAAAACGCACCCGGTATTTCACAGTGTTTCAAGTGACTTAGATAAAGTATAAATTATCTGCCGACAGCGCAGATATTTTATTTGGAAATTAAGAAAATTATTTGGGAACAGAAACTTATTATCGAATTTTAACTGCTTCATTTAAAATTGATGGTGCAGTTTCTCGATATGTTAGGCTTTCTCTAGTTAAAAAAATGTACAGATTTATTCGCGTTTTCCATACTAATATTATAAATGTGAAAGTGTATATATGTTTGTCCGTATTCACGTCAAAACGGCTGAATCGATTTTGATGAATTCTAGCTTAGATATACAGTAATGGTATATAGACAAATTAATATTGTGCTGTATTTCTTTTTTAACTTGTTTTATTAATACACCAACCTGTATACATAATTCGTTATAGCATAATATACTCACTTATACATAAATAAATTTATTAGACTCCCTTCAATAAAAAAATAATTGAAAAAAATTGGAACTATGAAGGACAAAAATATATAGACAAAGCAGAGCAATTATAGAAAAAAGAAGCAAAATTCATTGAATTATAGAAAACCAACCATTTTTGTGTTAATATTTTGTAGCATAACCAATATTATCAATCACCCCCTTTCATCGTCTCGGTATAGATTGTAGAAGTTTCTTGATATGAGATTCATCAATCTGTCTCCACTTTTGCTCCAAAGCGGCAAAAAGTTCATCCTTGTTTGAATAATTTTTATCTCGTATTTGCTTGTCTAAGTATTCCCATAGATTTTCAATGGGGTTTATATCGGGAGACTGTGAAGGACATTTGAAAACTGGTATTTTTTCATCCAGAAAGAATTTCTTTGCGAGATTTGAAGTGAGCTTCGGGTGGGGGCGTATTGTCTTCCATATAGGGTAACATGACATGCTTTGGTATGTCTTTGTATACAAACTTATTCATAATGCCATCTGTTCTATGTAAAAGTCCCACCCCGAACCCCGAAAAGCACCCTCAAGTCATAACAGACCCGCCTCCATATTTGACAGTGGGCAAAGTGTACTTGGGGTTTAATCTTTGTCCACTAGGACGTCTAACGTAATGAACACCATCTGATCCAAACATATTGAACTTGGATTCGTCACTGAAACATACCCTCTTCCAGTCACAGATGCTCCAATCAAGATGCAACCGTGTAAATTGTAATCGGTCCTTACGGTTTTTCCTCGAGATTAGCGGCTTCTTAGTCGGGCGAGGTGCAAATAACTTCAAATCATTTAATCTTCTACTTATAGTTTTCGTAGAAACACTGACAATTCCTTTTGTCTCGATTTCGGCTTTTATTTGTCTTGAGGTTTTAAACGGATCTTTGGACGAAATTACTTTTATTAATCTGATCTAGCATTTAGTTTTCTAGGCCGACCACTTCTCTTAGAGGCTTTCAAGATACGTTTTTGTTTATATTTGTTCAATATTGCCCACACTGCTTGAGCTTCAAATTTTTGGCAATGTCGACTTGACGTTGACCATCTTTGTATAACTCAATGATCTTAGTTGTCACATCGAAAGAAATTTCTGGACCACGCGGCATGGTCCTAAAATCACTCAACTTTTCCACAATACTTGATGAACGCAAACTAATCCTCTTCTGACACGAAACTGTACTAAACTAATGTTGAAAAGAATTTGTCCCTCATAAAAAAGCGCTTATATTCAAACTTGTATTGTGTTGATTGCAGATAATGTAAAAACAAGGAATTTAGTTTTTCTACTAATAACGCATTTGCTTATGGAGCAATGAAGTATGAATTCGTTTTCTAAAGGTATTTAGGTAAATATTCATATTTGTCTAAATTCTTTTGTCCATTACTGTATGTCAACTCAGTACGTATAAACAGCTCGTTTCTGCCATAAAGCTAAAATGATAACGTTGTTCGACCAGAATATAATTGCCAATCAAATTATTATTATTTCTAAGAGAGATATGTTCTGGTAAAGTGAATTACCGTTTTAGGGCGAACTTGACAATGAAAAACGTCTCCAGCTAAAGGGTAGTAAAGTTTTCAAAAATAAATAATTTATTACTAATACTCTGTAAGAGTAGATATTTTAATGAAATTTGGCATGCATATATTACGTATCAAGAGGCATTTTTTAATGTACCGCATTTTTTTGAATTCGCACATGTAGCGTTCATAGGGAATTTCACCTGCCTATTTTGGCAGACATTGATGGTACGCCAGCGATTTATCTTAAAATGAAAATTATTTTTGAAATGTCCAGTGATTTGTAAGCAAATTTGATCCCTAGATTTTTCTAACCGATGCAGTTTTCCCTTTTTAAAAAAATACAAACCGTTTCTCTGCACGATCATAGTAATATCGTTAATATGACAAACCACCATGTAGAGAACTGGATTTTTTTACTTGAAAACCTGCGCCGGACTAAAGAAAATCAAGAGATCAAATCTGCTTTTAAATGACTGTAAAAACTCTACACCACCCTGTATCTCAAAAGTTGCGACTTTCAGGGCATACGTTCATATGAAGCTTTCTTCTTAATATGGACCCAGAAACCGTCGCTTAAATATTGATACTCAATTAGGAAACACCCTGTATACTTATGAAGTACGTAAGATTTTTCTTCCTGATACCGAATTGTTTTTTTCATATTATGAATTATCATTTCCTCCTATATTTTGCATGCACCAATTTCCTTGTAAAAATAGTTCGATGCGGTTTCATTGATATCGTGTTATTTACCTCCCGAACGGAACTCGCATAGACATCCAATATCTCTAACAATATAAAAGGCTTCTTTTGCCCTGTTAATGTCACAACTATCAGCGATCGAAAATGTGGTGCCACTCTTTATTGAGGGTAATGTACTTTTTTATGTTTTTCCATTTAAAGTCTTAGGTATTTCTTTCACATTATATTCATCAACCACGCAAGAATGTTTTGTAGATGGACTGATTAGTATAGGTGGACACGCACTCTTTTGAAGCAGAATTTTAAGAAATGATTCGACTAATCGTATGAAACATGCTATTGCAGTAATTAAACATGCTACTGGTATTTGTTTAGGCACAATACGATGATAAGGTGAAACGTGCTCGCCCTGACACACAGCTGTCAGAACACGTTTAAAATAGTTTTGGGTAGTTACGGTTTCAAAATGGGCAGAGGTAAGGTTATTAGTGAGAAAATTCGGTTACTGATAATTAAATTTTTTAATTCTGGGAAATCAAACTCAGAAATTGCAACTTTGTTAGACTTATCGCGGTACAGTGTGAGAAATATTGTTAGAAGATATAACGTAACTGGTTCAGTTAATATTAAGCCACGATATGTGAAAAAAGTAATCTCACAAATGCCGACCGAAGAGCATTAAGAAGAATAATCGTGAAAAACAGGCGTGCCAATTATTTAAAATTAAGTGCTCTGTTGAGTGACGCTGTTGGAAGGAGAATTTCGAGGTCCACAACTCATAGAGAGGCCCACAAACTGGGATTTAGCTCTTGCAAGGTAAATTTTCTTATAAAAAAACGTGAGTAAAAACCCTAAAGTTGCACAACTTGTTTATAGGCCAAAGAAAAGCCACTATTAACTCCACTGCAAAAGAAAAATCGGCTTAGATGGGCTAAAGAACATAGACAATGGACACCTCAACAATGGTGTGCAATACAATGGAGTGATGAGGCCCGATTCGAAGTTTGTGTTGGTGACAGTCGCAGTAGTCGCAAAAAAATGAAGCATTCCATGTTGACTGTCTGAAGAGAAAAGTGAAATTTCCAGCATCCATTATGGTCTGGGGTAGTATGTCATCAAAAAGAGTAGGAAAACTTCATTTTATTGATGGAAATGTGGATATACAAACAAATATTTGGCAATTTTAGAAGAATCGTTTTTACCAGTGATGGAAGAATGTTTGACATCCGACCAAGATTTTGTGTTTCAGCAAGATGGTGCAGCGTGCCATACCTCAAAAAAGGCTATAAAATGGATGGAAGAAAATAATATACCACTTTTGAAATGGGTTTCTAGTAGTCCAGATCTGTCACCTACTGAAACTTTGTGGCACGAGGTGAAAAAAGTTCTACGACAACATCCTGCTCGTACAATCACCGAATTAAGACAAAAGCTTCAAGAAATATGGGATTGTTTTACACCAAATTTTTGCCAAAACTTGGTTAACATTATGCCCCAAAGAATTGCAGCCGTAATAAAAAATAAAAGTGATGTTACCCAATGGTAATCTTTCAATTGTTGCTTTGTTAACTTCGCGCATTTATTCGGTCTTAGTGATTTCAAATATGTATTTTTTACGACTAGAGTGTATCTAAAATGTTTTTGAGAAAATACATTGTTTTAGAAGTAAATAGTTTCGTCATGTTTAATTTATAAAGGCATATTTTGGTACAAATCTTGAAGTGGGCCAACTGAAGTGGGAAGGGGCTCGTATACGTCTTGTTTTTATTATTTGCTAGGAAGCCTTCCGTTTGAGCTCGTCGAGCACTGGCACGAAAAGTAGCTGCTAGAAAGTACTTTAACCTACCATATTTAACCTGCACAGTCCTCAAAAGGCCCGAATAAGACCCGGCCTGGTGTAGTGCTCACATGTGTGTGGACATTTTCTCGACTATTTTGTGCAAGTATGCCCATTTCACATTGTATCAACATGTTCATTGGGTGCTCATCCTATTTTTTTTATTTGTATCGGTTTTATATTCTGTATAACTTTAAATTTAAACTGTAAAAGCTCTATAAGTGAAACGCTTTTTTCTTTTTCAGATGTGTCCAATATCAGGACTGGTCCAGTTTCTGATAGTGCTGGTAGCGTTGTTACTACTGTGCCATGCAATCGTGGTGAGAACCTGTCAGATCCACTTCAAACCATCATCCATATCAAAGTTGATCATGTACGATACAGTCAACGTTTCCTACAATATTATCAGTGATACGGGACCATGTAAGTCGAATATTTTAGAAGTAAAGCATAAGAATGAGACTACTATTTCAATATAAATTACTTACATGATTTCTTACTTAGTAAAGATATAATGAGACTTGTTGGCGTTGATTGTCGTATTTTAATTAGGGAGATGCTTAACTCGGGTAATGAGTAGAAATGTTTATTTTTTCGGCATGTATTACGTGACTACTATAAAGCAAACGAGATATAAGGTTTCAGCATTCGTTCTTGGCGATGCGATGTCGAAAACGCATATAGGAGGAGCAAAAAAGCGGAATTTAAGTCCTTCCTTTGCTCGAAACCGCATGGTGGTACCAAAAAGTATTTTGGAGTACCAGGACCATCTTAAGCTATGTAGGGAAGCCTGGACACACAGGAAGCTTGGCGCCTGCTACTGAAGAGGCCCCAGGCCAAAGCGAACTCCGTGGCTATACTTAGCTGCTGGGGAAGATTGGAGAGTGGTAAGAGAGGGGGCTGTCAGACTAAGACCTTTTTAGTTTAGTTCAATTTATGGGCTTTTATGTCCACCATCAAGCCGGAGACCTGCGCACGGGCCCCTTGTGCCCAAAGAGTGAAGACAGTACAATGAATATCAAAACGTAGTGTCTAAATGGCATTGGGAAAAATCTACCTCGAGTCCATGCCCGAAAACGTCAAAGTACTGCTCGTTAAGAGCAGAAATCCCGTATCGTCCGTACAGTCACGTAATTTCTCACAGGATTTATATGACTTGACAGAACATTTGCAACAAATAGAGCTGCATGATGAGATAGCTTCTAAGGAGCAGTGCATACATTTTAAATAAAAATACCTGCAATTCCATTGATGACTTTAATATTATCTTCCTTAGGTCATATTTTGATCAGTTTTTATTTGCAAAAATCTTGATAGACATCTTTTGGCATGTCTTTTTTGTTTCAGATAATTCGGATTATTTGATATACAGTGAAAATAAAGACATCGCAGGTCTACCCAAAGACGAGATATTGATATCTAATTCCCTGAACAGTTTATCAGGCACATTAAACATAACTGGGAATTTTCTAGGTGAGTTAAATTATTCAATCGATACTTTTACTATGAGAAACAATTTTTTATTGTGAACTGGACGTATTTTAATTTTAAATTTGAATAATGTATAATCTATTGTTTTTTCTAAAGGTAGCGGTTGATTTTGCATGTCATAAATAAACATAGGGCAACATGAACTTGCTGATAAATTTGAAACTTTATTTCGTACCTTAGATTAAAAGATTGTAATAGACCGTCTCAGAACTTCTGTTTGAAGTATCATGGCTTAAAAACTCACTTTCCAGTAAACTTAAATACTTAATAATATAATTTTTCAATACTAAATCGTCGTTTTTTACGTCACATAAAAAAAATGTGTATTATACACGGGAAAAATACTAGATTTTAACTTGAGGTTGTATTGTCTCCCGACGCGCAGTACTTTTTTCCTGGTATAATAAATAACTATTCATACTTTTGACAGGCACACATATAAATTATAGGATTCAATGAATGAAATCATATTTCTTAAAAGTAACTAATGACATACATAATATACTAAGTGACATATAAATCCGAACACCCAGTTTAAATGGTTTTATTTTAATTACATTTTGTATAAGTACTTAATGAAGCATAATAAGTAAATGATAAAAATTTCTAAATGATTGCACTGCTTTAAAGCCCTTTGACCTTTAATAATGTGTGGATGCACCCTGATGTGCTACGCATTCTCCAACGCGCCTAGGCATACTTCTGATCAGGTGGTCAATGTCCTCCTGTGGTATCTCATTCCAGGCAACCACGAACTCCTCTCGAAGTGCTTCTAGAGTCTGAGGAAGACGTTGCAAATTGAGCAATCTCCTACCCATCATATCCCACACGTGCTCAATTGGGGATAAGTCGGGAGATCTTGGTGGCCATGGTAACAATGTGACATCATTATGTTGAAAGAAGTCTATTGTGACTCTTGCAACATGTGGTCGGGCATTATCTTGTTGGAAAGTTGGATCTGCCAGGGTGTCAAGATAGGGTAAAAGATGGGGTTCTAGAACTTCGTGGATATAACGCTGCGCGTTCATGTTACCTCTGATGAAGATTAAAGGTGACCTGGAACCATAAGCTATAGCACCCCAAACCATAACTCCAACAGTGTGATGAACATGTCTTTCAACAAAAAACTGTGGATTCCTCCTTTCACCACGTCGCCTTCTAACCCTGGCACGACCATCGGGCATGTCTAAACAAAATCGAGACTCGTCACTAAAGACAATACTGCTCCATTCCTGATCCCAGAGTGACCGTTGCCTGCACCACTCAAGGCGGTTACGTCGGTGTTCTCGAGTTAAAGGGAGGACCCAGTGTGGCCGGTATGAAAACAAGCCAAAACTTCTCATTCGTCGGTAAACACTTCGCATGCCAATAGGTCTTCCGTGTTCTGCAAACCATTCATTTGCAATGGACCTGGTAGTGGAGAAACGGTCCCTTAAGGCCAATAATCTTAGGCGGCGATCTTCACGGTCTGTTGTTCTACGGCGGCGTTCAGTGCCCCTTGCTCTTTGCGTACGGCCTTCTCGAAGCCATGCCTGACAACACCTAACCACAGTGTCTACACTTCTTTGCACTCTAACTGCAATTGCCCGAAAAGAAAGTCCAGCTTCCCGAAGTCCCACTATACGGCCCCTATCAAACTCACTAAGTTGACGAAATCGTACAGGCCTCCATACTCTAGGCATCGTAACCGATCGTAAAGGATGTCAAGAACCAAAATCCGCCAACGTTGATTCTTTACTGCGGCTGAAATATTCATTTTTAGAGCGTTAGTGAATTAAAAAAAAGCAGTATAAAAACCGGAATGTCCAACTGATAAGGCTGAAAATTTTTTCACTTGTTACGAGTATTTACAGTAAGATAAATACATTCACCAACTTTTATTAAAATAAAACCATTTAAACTGGGTGTTCGGATTTATATGTCACTTAGTATATTATTGCATAGAAAGAAATGGTATAAAATTAAAACAAGTATTTCTGCTTTGCCACTTGAGGTTTGAAGTTATTTAAAACTAAATATAGCAGCACTTTTGATTCTATGAAGTTTGTGTTACATTTGCCTCCCTCCTTGGGAACGTATACAATTAATTTATATGGTATTTACAGGGAATCGTTTTAAATTTACTTTTCAGGTAAAACGTCGATAAAATGCAAGAACCGTCTGACGAACAAAGTTTCATCAGAAAAGCTAGATGTCATAGTGGTGCGCAGAAAGAGAGTGATAGACATTGTGTTTACGGCTAGTGTTGCCATGTTGGTTAGCATACTCTACATCAATTTCGGATGCGCTATAGATTGGAGTGAGCTGTCCAATATACTGAAAAGACCTGTGGGACCTGCCATTGGGTTTTTTGGACAGTTTGTCATCATGCCATTGGTAAGCAAATAGCAGCTACAACCGTTCGAAAAAATGCGGTATAACCGCTCGCAGTCGGTTACGCAAAGTTGCCGTTTACCGATGAGCGATTGGAATTGACAGTTTTGCCTTAGCTCTAGAGTGACGTGCTAACCAAAATGCTTGCCAAAATTCTGTAAACTCTCAGTGCTCATTTTTTTCGTTCCTGATATAAAGTTACAAGACACTGAAGAAAGATATTGATTATAAGTGGAGTATAACGGTATTGCGGATATCATACCGAAATATGTGTGCTTGTAGATATTAATGATAATAACAGGGCTGCTTTCACACCAGACGCAAACCGCTTGTTTACGCTTAAAGGTGTTTTTAACCCAGATCTTGATAATCAGCGTTCACATTTAACGCGCGTGCTCAGTACGGTTTAAGTGGCGTCTGAATTTTGGGAAAAGTACAGTTCTGAGTGTACTAAGACGAATATCTCTTCAACAGTTGAGTTACGTGTTGGGCCTGGTATTGTTCCCCGACTCCCCAGAGATGCGTCTGGGCATGTTCTTCACCGGCGTGTCTCCAGCGGGCGGCGCTTCGAACGTGTGGGCGGTTGTTCTGGAAGGAAACATGAGTCTCAGCATCATCATGACCGCTATCAGTACCATAGCAGCGTTCGGCATGATGCCGCTATGGATATTCACACTAGGCAAGAGCATATTTGACAGTGCCGACCTCAGAGTGCCTTACAAGTAAGTACCGTTGAAATATAGCCAAGTTTAATTGTTTACTTGAAACGGATTTATTCTTAGCTGTCAACAGGTTAGAAAATATACGATCTTTTCTAGTGGCTTTTGAGGAGACTACACATAATACTAAAATTGTTTAAAAAATTTGATCTGCGTTACCGTGCGAGTCCATTCAATGCTTCAAAAGTCGTTTAAAAATTATAATTTATGAGGTCGCCAAGTATTTAAAGTAAAGTTTCCTTGCTCTATAAGGTCTTGAAGAGTATCTACAAATATTTTAGAGCTATTTCCACCTTGTTTTTTTCAGGTCAAAATTGGCGAACTTTTGGCTTTCGCAGACTGTACCATAGTTATTACATAAAAATATGACTACTTTAATTTTTTAAGAACGATTGGTATTTTTTTATTTTCCTATTTTCGTTGATCTACGAATTATTTTCTCTTTTAGGGAAATTTCAACATATGTCATAGCTCTGATAGTGCCTTTAGCTATTGGTTACTTAATACAAAGGTACCTGAAGAGGTTAGCAACATTCATGACAAGAATTATCAAGGGCTTCTCTGCTTGCCTGATACTATTTATCATAATCTTCGCCATCGTTACCAACCTCTATTTGTTCCAGTTGTTTTCATGGAAGGTAAGACCAAACAGGTCCTCTATATTTTGTTACAACAAAAATCTAATAACCAAGAATCTAAACGTCACTTTCCATACTTTGTATAAAGAATATCTAGAGCTTCCTAGTTTATAAATAATATACGTGTCTGTACTATCTCTATAGTTGAGTAGTGACCGCGGTTTTAATTTAACTATCTGTTGAGAGTTGAGATACGTTTATTCTGATTTTGATGTATTTCAATGAATTTTCCAGATAATTTTGGCTGGCATGGGTCTTCCTTGGATAGGCTACCTAGCAGGGTATCTTTGTGGTTATATTCTGAGACAGCCTCACCCAGATAGCCTGACTATAGCAATAGAAGTGGGAATACAAAATACGGGCATTGCGATATTTTTGTTGAGGTTTGCACTGCCACAACCTGAGGCCGATCTCACTACAGGTAATTTTTTATATTGAATTGGACATGATTGTTTTCCGTCTCTGTCACTACTACCAATTGCAGACGTTGTTTCGTGTTTATCAGTGCGGTATAGATCTAAGAAGGCCCACTTGTTTGGTACATGATATAAATCAAGTTATAAATTGTTTTATTTGATATAGTGAAACAGAATCGTGTAACTGTTTTTCGTTCAGGGAGAGAAATGCTACTTCTCAGTCAGTCAGCAGTAAAAAAAAAGGTTTATTGTCATTCAATTATATATGTCAGATTACACAGAAAAAGAAAAACGCCAACTTTACAAGCACTACTAATCTGCTAATAGCCAAAACTGAGGACACTGAGATTCCTCAAAAATGGATTAAATATGTATCTTGCTGCTATTGCAAGGGCTTGGTTTGACTGATAATATCAACAAATGCAGAAGTATCAAAGTATCACCAAGTACGAAGAGAAACCATTGTAGCACATTATGTTGCATAAAAAATATGACGTTCCGACTAATTTGAAGAAGGATGAAAAATAATATACCGATAATTTGGATAATGAATAAAAAAATGAATTTACATGTAATAAAGTAAACGTTGTCAAAAATCTAGGGGTTAGGGAATAACAACCACGGCAATGGGCACGTAAAGTAAAACATAGATATAACCTATATTTACATATGAAACCAATATTAATTTCACAAACACTCGAAAAACTCACTGAGGATAAAAATAAAGAAAATTCGAATGACAAGTTACTCCATCAACACGAAAACTAATAATGACACATTCGAATTATCGCATCATATACGATAACTACCTCTGCGACACTTTTGATAGAAACAACTTAATAACGAACAATTTTTCTCATTACGTCATGGAAGATATATTACTAAGAACATTTGGACACCTTTACCGACATTTAGTAGTCTCCATTGAGGGACATGCAACATCTGCAATAATCCGAATGTAAATAGATAGGTCTATTTTTCTTTGTGATCGGTGATTATACTCGCGTCTATATATATATGAATATGGTCAGCTCTGTAAATACTTGATATTTCGGCTGCTACATCGTCTGTTTTGCTGGTGCAACATCTATCAGTCCATTGCGCAAAATGTCGAGCTGTTATGAGCCGTTAACGTAGGGGTCTTTCACCGTATGGAATGAGGATGAAGATCAAGTTTGACAAAACCATTGGTAGTTGGAGATCGTCAGATTTTTCACCTACCTCCGAACAATTCTTTCTATACTACATATTGACATTTGATTGATACCGCATATTTAAATAACTTTCAGGACAATTGTGTTTATAATGAAAATGCATATTTCACATTTTTGATTCCTACGCATTTATTTCCTGTTTTTTTTTTCTTACAGATTACTTGAACTTGATTTTATATTTTTCTTTCAGTTGCACCTGTATCCGTTGCCATGCTAACCCCTATACCTTTGATGGCAATTTATATTTATCAGAGGATGAAAGCCAGGTATGAAATTCTTTTAAAACCACTCTTAGACCAAATATGGTTTTACCAAATAATAGGCAATATGCATGTTTTTTTCATCTTCTGTCGATTTTTTGGGCGTTCTGAACAAATTTTCCTAGGGGTGATACGCTCCATTAGTCTAACGGCACGAATGTCATACGTAAAACTACAGAATCAATTTCCTTATCATTTCCCCACATGCATTTAGGCTAGATAATTTTTGGAAAGCTTTCTATATTGAATATAACCACCAACAACAGTAAAAGAAATATCACAATAACAGTTGATAGCAACGTCGCCTCTGGTAGTACTCTGATAGCGGTTAGTTTTTTGTCCGCATGTCCATTATACCACATTTGCAATAGATATTAAATATTACAAAATGACATAATTATTCCCAGATACGCATTTTAATTACAAATGTCCGATTATGTATGTTATTGACAATATAATTTATTTTTATTCACAGTCTATATTGCCACAGAAAGCCACCTTCAACATCATTTTATACTCTTATGCTCTATAAAATTAAGATGCTTTCCAGCCAACAACGCAATTGGGCTTTAGACGCGCCAATATGATGGCTGGAACGTAACAAAGGGTTATTACGACTAGTGTTTGTCATTATTGTCAATGACGCAGCTGGTGGCTATTTTCCTTGCTCATATATTTTTAGTTTTCATCTTGCCGTCCATTTTCCTTGGTTTTCATTCGTTTTGTTTGTTTGTTTGAGTATTCTATTTATTAATGCCTTTCAATAATCCTGCCTAAATTACAAAATAGATCAAAAAAAGCAAGCTATTTAACGAACAGGTATTTACATGCATATTCCCTGTCCTCCATCATTTGACGAGACAGTAATCAGTAATACTTAGACATCGCATTTCAGGCTATATAGCTCTCACTCAAAACTGACCAGCTACGAGCCCCAGAAATTACAGAAGCTGGACGACAACTGCAACGGAGATATAATCTCACCCGTCAGCGAAATCGTGACGCTCACGTAGCCGCACCTTTACCGCGCATTTTATATTTAGTTAGGGCGACGTCCTCAAGTAGTTGCTCAGAGTGTACGCAGATGTTTTAGGGTAGGCGTAGACGTTGATGGAGACAAATGATACTGCTTTTTGCGTTTGATTATTAAGGGGGAGCATTAAGGATTTAACTATGGTTACGGAGTTGCGTCGTGTAATCTATATTCAAAAACAGCGCTACAGTAACAAATAGTACATTACATGCCTAGGTTGAAAAGTAAGCAATTATTGGTCGCACACTTTTATATTTATATAAGAGAAGACATTTCGTGAAATGTCTTTATAATCCTCGTGTCGGCCTTATTAACCTTGGGTATTATATTAGGGAAATTGACAGCAAATTTTTGGTTACATCATTGCGTACTGATATGATACGATAAAAACTGGTCAAATCTTACAAATGTTGATGCTAAACAAAGAACTCGCCAAGACGATTTGACTAGATTTTTGAGATATTAGTACGCGATGTAACCAAAACTTTGCGGTCGGCTCTTGGACTATTATTAGTTTGGTTTGGTTTATACCGACGTGGTGTTGCCAAAGTGTCATGAAATGTTTAGAAAACACTACATTTGCACTTAGCAGAATTAAGTTCAGTTCTTTTCATTGGCAACTATGTCAAATACACAGACCATTGGTCAAGTAGCAAGTTGATGTTAGAAAAAAGTTGAATTTGCAGCTGACATTCCTCTTTTAATACCAAACTAAATCGTGTAATATTTGGCGTAGGGCCCTGAAAGTTGAATAGTTATGTGATAACTTACAGATTTTGAGAATAACTTGTGTTTACATGCGTCTGGAGTACCAGTGGTGCTTTGACAGGGTTGCCATGTTGGGGGATATTTCTTCAAATTTGGGGGATTTTTACTTAGGGATTTTTTTGAGGATATAATGTTCTGGGGGATGTCACATGCTTCGCGGATAGAAAGCACCATACTGTTTAAACCGTACCTATCCCTCTCCATTAAATAATTGTGATTTGTGGGATTTTTTTGAAAAAGTTGCAATTCTGAGGGATTTTTGTGCTTGTTCTGAGGACATTCTGTCCGACCCATCTCGCAAGATTGTGCTTTGAGAAATCCGTCTTTAGCTCAATGTAAATTAACTCAACAATTTTTACTTATTCCTTTTAAATCCTTGGTGTAAATATTCGGAAATCTGCTGGAAATGGTTACTGATATTTAGTTATTTGTGAAGAACTGTTGAAAAGTGTCACTTTTTGCGGTGATGAATTGTTTAACGAAGGACAACAGTAACGTGTTTATTGCTTGGCACTCCCGCTATTCTTCAAAATTTCACTGAAAAACTCAACAAGAATCATGAAATAAGTAATTGAAGATGGATGAAACAGCTATGTCAAATTCTCATAGATGGCGCTACAGTATTTCATTTTATCTTGCAGATTTTTTGAGTGCAATAATACAGCATTAGGATGACTACTTTTTAAGTACAGTGGTACCCAAACTTCTGGAATACAAATAAACACAATATTAATGGGGGATGCACTTGATGGATTGACGGCAAATTATGAATATTTGGCTTCAGTTTTGTTAGGAATAAGCGCGAATTTCATCGGTCTGCAATATTCAGTCTGCTCCTTTTTTATGTTAATAGATTTGTGATAACAATCTTTTGCGAATACGTACGAGGAGGAAAACGTTATCGAGTCCAGAATATTTTTCGGGTATTTCTAACAAATGGTCTTTTTTAAATTTTACCGTCAGCTCCTCATTACTAGTTTGAGCAGTTCGACTTGTAACACTGCATTTGCTACTTCAATTTTATCGAATAGGTCTGTGATCCATCGCTCAGAATTTCGTCAAGTCCGTTAAAATAAATATCGATTATACAATTTTTTACGAGGGACAGTCGCTGGCTTTCTTAAAATATTATCTCAGAAATCATTTTTGTTCCTTACTATCGAAACGAGATAAATTATCGTGATCCCTCACTTACAACTATGAACCCCCATTCACACCAACATACGAGGTCTGTAAATTGAAGATGTGAGATTTTGAAAAAAAAAATTATTCAAACGCAGAAGTACCCGAATCCTGTCGATATTTTCATCGGTTCTTCAAGATGAAGGCTGTCCTCTTCGTGATTCATGAAATACCTTAAACCACCGAAAAACCTCGGCTCTTGACAAAACACTATCTCCTTAGGTCTGCTGAAGTTTAGTACAAGTTTCCATTGCACTGTGTCTAGGTCTGAAGCAAAACTTGAGATTTTTAGAACACAATAGTAAAAACTGTTTCTCAAAAAAAAATCGCTTCAGACAACCAAGTAACTCGAGCGAGTTCAAACTTGTACTGAAGGCGGATCACATGTTCCCTTGTCTCCCCTCCAAGCCCGGCGGCGCCTCCAGTGTCGCCAGATCAAGCGCTACGTTGCCAATCTCATCACTTAATTTACAGACCTCGTAGACCCCGTTGAGTGTCCCATGGACCCCTCGGTGTCCTCTTGGACCACTCTGGGAATCACTAATCTAGTAGGCTACGCTAGTTAATAGCAACTACAATAAATTGTGATGAATTCTGACAATAAATCTAACCGTAGATTAGGTGCACTTACCCATTGCACTGCTCATTATTGTTTGTGCTTTTCCGATATCTTCTACAATAGACGAGTACAATGTTAATTTTTTTCTATTCATCCATTAACGTCCTGAAATTCATATTTCTCACGTTCAGGGTCGGCTCCAGAGTTTTGTGCGTCCTCAGGCAAAGGATGAAATACTCCTCACATTACGAATGTTGCGTCACGTGACACTGCGCCCTGTGGCTGCTACCTCACTTCATACCGCCTGTAGCCGGCCCTGCTAACCTTAAGGGCTCGCGCAGACAGACAAGCCTTCAGCGTTCATGCCGCGTTCGTCCGGTCAGTTCGTCTTACGAGTCCTAACACAGACAGGAGGCAGGCACGAGCACTGCATTCCATTTTAAGAAGATTACTCGTAAGTGAAACGTGTATTTCAATAGTTCGTCTTCAGAAGACGAAGTATTGCTTTTGTGGAGATTGGAAGTGTCTAATAAGAAAAAGAGGTCTGGGTGGATCAGATTTATTATGAGAAAGATGAAAAAGCAGAGGTCAGTGTTCCTTTTATTTACTTTATTATTATTAAGTAGTTTTAATGAATTCATGATTATATAAAAAAGAGGAAATAGAGAAACACGACACCAACTGGAGAAAGGATATATCTACTAAAGAAAGATTGGCAATATGTTCCCATTTCCGCGGCTATTTTAAGCCATGCTGCATTTTTACAACTATTTTTATAGACTGTCACACAAGAACTTATAGAAAGCCATCTTGCGGACGAGGCGTTCCACGAGTTCTTTGTATTTCTGACAATAGAACGCAAGAACGTGAGCGTTAACACTGAACGGTGCGGTTTGACTGCCGCTGTGTCAGCGCGACTCTGATATCTATTTTACTTACAAAGAACGTGGAACTCGGAACGCTTGAACGCCTTCTGTCTGCGCAACCCCTAATATTTCTTCTTTATGGAGCACAGTTCAGATGTCTGAAAGTGTCTTTTGAAGTCTTGACAAAGCTTAGTATCTTACAGTCAAATTCTTCACGAAATGTAGTAATCAACGAACCTTATCGCACAATGTGTTTGGATGTATAAAATTCATTTGTCCTATCCAGTGCCTGAAGTGTCCCAAACGACATTTTGCAGTATTCTGAGAACAAGCTGTTTTTTGTTGACGTGCAATAGACTCGACCTTCAAAGTATGAACCTTAATGATTGTCCTCAATATAACTGTTATAGCAGATTTTTAACCTTTAGTTTATAGCTTGCATATATTTATAAGTTTTCATTTGTCTCTCTTATGCATAAGCCTATTCTGTAATTTATTTCTCGTAGCTGTCAGAAAAGGAACGTATTTTAAAATGAATTGTTTCGTATATTTAAGCAGTTACAGTTGATACTTAATTATTTATGGAATTACATTACGTTTTTCGGTGTGCGTAGTTATAACAGTATTTTTGATCTGTATTGTTTTGTTGTCTTTCCTGATAGTTATATATTTTGAAAAAATATGTAGTATTTTTGCTACAACAGGAAATATTTTAACGAATAAATTATTTTGTTTTTCTATATTTATGGTGTTTTATTTTTACCCTTGATTTTACATCGACAGTTTTGGGTGGCTGATTTCAATTTTATTCTGAAATTAGTTTGCATTTATAAGGTCACATCAAAAGAAGCCGAGCAATTGTGCCCAGCCGCGTGTCGTTCAAGTTTCTCAGGTTGCTATGTCCGAAATCATAGGTGAATTAGTCACTCAGTGAAGTTCATTACATAGGTACGTAATGCAGTCCCTTAAAATCCAAATCGCTAGAATACTACTCCAAGTTTCTCAGATCCCGCTCAGTATTGAATCATGTTATGTATCTAAATGGCTTTTTTCTATGATTTGTATAATCTCACTATGGTCCTAACATATATACAGGGTGGCCCAACGAAAAGTAGCACCTCGATTTGTGACTATCCTGGTATATTTTGGGAAAAACACTCGGACTCGTCAATTTTGATTTCTACCTATAGCAGTACAATATAGGGTGATCAAAAAATAAGATATTCCGTTACACTTTAGATTTTTAAATGGAAACCCACATTTTTTTAATTTTAAATCTTTCATGAAGTTTTTAGTAAGTATAATGTAGTTTATACCTGTCTTTAATCGTTGTGAAGCTATTTAAGTTTATAATAAAATTCGACTTAATACTGATAATAATGAAATGCACGATAAAAAATAATAATCATGGATACCATCAAGGACATTCAGCATCAGCCAGTGTCATCGCATGTCATAGAGAAACTTTGTCTTTCATTTCAAATTATTATTCAGTTCAAGAAAGGGTAGAAATAACAAAACTTTATTACCAAAATGGGAGCATTGCAAGAACTGCCCAATTGTTTAATGCGTTACATCCAGACAAAAATATTAACGATAAGTGTGTGGTCAAGTTGATAAGAAAATTTGAAGAAACTGGATCTGTGTCTAATATTCGCCGTAATCGCAATCGAGAAAATCAACCAGTTAGAAATGAAGCCGCAGAAATAGCAGTTTTTGGACACGTAGCACTTGACAACACTTGAAAAAATAAATGTGTGGGCCGGCATTTTCGGTAAATTATATTGTAGGACCTTTCTTTAATGCTGGAAACTTGATGGGCGAGACGTACTTGGACATGTTAGAAAATACAATAGATCCACGAATTACCGAAATAATAGAAAATGACGTTAATTTTGATGAAAATTACATTCATTTCCAACAAGATGTGGGTCCCGTACGACAGTTTTCTGACACCCATTTCTCGAATCAGTGGATCGGCAGACGAGGCATCATCGAGTGGCCGCCGAGATCTCCGGTCGTAAGTCATCTAGATTACTTTCTTTGAGGGCATTTGAAAAGGCAAATATAGGGCAAGCAAAATTTTGATTCCATAGCCAACATATTGTTTAAAATATTAACTTTAAAAGAGTGAACGATTTTCATTTGTTTTATTGCCACAGGTTATTCGAATTCCTTTTCTGTCGTTTAAGATCCTGAGAATACGACATACGAGTATCAGGGATAATTGAGACTATCAGAGCAAGAGTGGCCCAAGCCACAAATATACTAAATTGAGTTTGATACAGAAATAATTAGTTCATCTATTTTAGGGTAAAAGTGGCCTATGCCACCTTTAACAACATTTCAAGAGATGAAACCACCTAATCTGTTTTTGTATTGCATTAAAAAGTTTCAACTAGAGAGCAACACCGCGGCCTAAGCCACAAATATTGTGGGAAACCGCTGTTAAGACAGCAAGAAAAATGTCCCTTTTAAAGTTGTTCAAATGACAGCCAAAGATTGTTATTCAACTGTTAATTTACAGGAGAATATAACAAATCGAAAAATTTCCGAAAATAAATTAAAAGTAGAATGGATGAAAATCCAGTGGCTGCTCTTTAAGAAGTCGGATCCATTTAAAATCTATTTTAAATACTCAAATCAAAATTTTGTTTAATTTGATTCACTTAACGTGTTCAGGAACTCTACTAGCAGTTTCGGAGAGCCGAACCTGTTATATCCAAAAGGACGTGAAGTTGATATCAAAAAGAAAAAGGGCCTATTGGCTCTAATATGTTTTATTCCCCCTATTCATCACGAGTTCTATAAATCATGAAAACAACTCATGCTCAACACGATGAGATTTATTGTGGTTGAGATAGCGATGAAAGCGATTGCGAGAATTAGTTATTATTTCTTTTGTTAAGAGACTAATAAAAATAATTTCTGTTTTAATAGTTCGTTTTTTCCTAAATGTCCAGACATTCTTTCAAGAAAAGCCTGTCTCACCGAACCAACTGATTTCCTTGCACAATGATAACTTATAGTTAATTAAAAGTCACATTTTTTTTATCAAATTTCGTTTTTTCCATAATATTTAAATAACATTTAAAATACATTTTATAAAAACCGTTGCAACGAAAAAATCTAATTAAAACAAAAATGCCTTATTTAGAAAGAACAAAAAAAAGCGAAAATTTAAATTACGTTTTTCTCAAAACTATGACTTTGGGCTTAGGCCACTCATGCTCTGATAGCCTCATTTACGAGAGGGGTTCAAGGATCACCTTTCCTTGGAAAGTTGAACTATTTTAAGAATAAACAATTTTCTTTTAAAAAAATTGGAACCGATTTACTACCGAGCGAATCACTGCGATTTTACTTACCAACATGGCTGTGATGATGGAAATTTGAAAACGTACAAATACAGCAGAGGAGTATACGTTTATCAATGTTTTTGCATAATCTTCGGCGAGAACTCCAGTGTTCCCAAGGATCCACTTTTGCATGTTACGCTGGCAAACACTAGGTTAAGGCAAAGTAGCTCACTGTTATACTGATTGGTTTAATAATGCGAGTTTTGGACTGACAGAACCGGGAAAAATGTTCCATAGACGACTTTTTTCAAGCATATGTCAATGTCAATAAATACCTATCTGATTCTCCATAAACAAAGTAGCCTGTCAATTGTAATCTTGTAATCATTCTCTCAATGAAAAACTTCCTGCGTCATAATTAAGATATAATGCACAGTACACGTCTACATACACTGCTCAACAAATGAATGATATTTATACATATTTTTTCGTTCTTTCCCTTTCAAAAGAAATTGCTTCTTTCTTCATCATGACATTCACATTCCAAAGAAGTATCATTGCTTGACTTCCACCGTTTTCGCGCAGGCACGACCTTCAGTTGTTTTTGGTACCTCGCGGTGGAATATTAATCAATGCTTATATCCTCAGTGAGAAAGAAAAGATCCAAAAAAAGGTGCTTTAAATGAAATTTTGTATACATACAACTGAACATAAGCAAGATGAAGGCATGACTATGTTTTGAAGTCACGAATAACATTTGCTGTATAGTTGTTCATAATAGTCTGTTAGGTCAGCCCGATGCCGTATCCATTCGTGCAGACATTGGGGCATGCTTCTGAGGAGATCTGTCTTTTTTTGAGGTATCTCAGCTAGCTGGACTTGCTTTTGAAGAGCTACTAGCGTTGCTGAAGAACAACCAATTCGAATATCTCAGAAGAAGCCAATCCTATCTGTTTACATTGCATTATTTGTCGCCAAAATTGCAGTTTGAGTGCATACCTTTGATTCATTTGTCTACCAATACCTGCCAAAGTGACAGCGTTGTATCAACATAATAATACTTACCGGCGGATTCATCTACCTTCATTAGGCTTGTGCTGCTTATGCTAGCACGTCTTGAAATCGTCTAACATTACGATTATCTGAAAATACTCTCACTTTTAAAGAATAACACTATAATTATGAATTATCTTGTTGGAAAACATGGTTCTTGAGCGTTTGGAGGGATGACAAAAAAAGATGAGGTTCCAATATCTCCTGAATATACCGTTGCGCCGCGATACCTCCTCCAATGAAGACTACATGTGACTTAGCACCATCTGACTCTCCAAACCATACCTTCTACTTTATGGTGCTCGTGACTACTCTACGTTACGACTTGCACATCCATCATCCATTCGTAAGCAACAGAAAAGTTTTTTCCTAGAGCAGCTTTACTTTTACTTCTCGTAGAGACAGGGGAACTATTTTCTTGACAGACTAATCAGCCTTATCATGAATGTAAGGCCTTGACAAGAAAAGTCTGTGTTATACAATTTTTCTAAGAGAATAAATGGATCATCGTCTTATATACAAGTATGAAGTTGTGAGATCACACCGCTCCTTATAGTCTAGTAAGAACGATCTATACCAATCCGTTCAAACCTCCTATTGTCACGTGGCTTTTTGAAAATGTTCTGTCCCTTTGTTGAGCAGTATAACTAGAGGTCGGCCTATTTATTTTTAGCATTGTGCTATCAATAAAATAATAATTCCCTGAGAACAGAGAGAAACGCAGCTTTAAAGTAATTTCTTCTTATCAATTAGAATATATGACATAAATATAACGAGCGAATACAATTTTATCTAAATACATGATGAGATTAGATGAGGAAAAGTCGTCAAAACAATTATGAGAGGTAAATATACATTATGACAAGGTAGGTCTCACAATAACAGCCTCGTAACACTTCATTTAATATCTACTATGAAACCTGGCTGAATATTCGTACATTTGGACAATATGTTCGGAAAACGTTCCTGGATATTAGTGATTCTAATATTTGTGACTAGAGGTTATGGACATACTGTCAATTTTTCTCCAGAGCAGTTGACTATTCACATTGATTCACTTGCTACAGTCAAGTACGAGTTCATAGCAGCTTCCTCAACTGTCATTCAAGGTAAAAGCAGGTATGGTATAGAAAGGCTATGTATTTTTTCATATATTTCTGAATTTTAGGTGATGACGAATATGTTATATGGGTTGAAAATGATGGAATAGCCCGCTTGGCTAATGGAAATGTAACGATTCTATTGAGTAGAGTGGTAAATGGAAGTTTTTTCATACAAGGAGAATCATTAGGTATGATTTAGCACATAATTTTTAAGAACAAGCTTCTATTTATCTGTTAAAACAAACTTTATTCAGAAATATTT